CGAGGCGACCCACCTGTTGTATTCGATGCTGTGGAGGATCTCTCGGAAGGGGTGCGAGGATGACGTCGTGGTTTACAGGATGCTTCTCGAAGCTCTGTGTCGAGATGGGAGGGTTAAGGACGCAGAGGAGGTGATGGGGAAAGTGCTTTTGAAGGGGCTCCGGTCGAGGGCGAGGCGGAGGGGGTTTAGAAAGCCGGAGCTCGAGGGGTTGGATGAGGAGGGTGCGAAGGAGAGGATCGATGAGGGGTTGGTCTCCGGCGGGGTGAGGAGCCTGAGGAGCTATGAGGCGGTGATCGGGGATCTTTACGAGGAGGGGAGGATTAAGAGTGCGGATAAGGTGTTGAGGAGCTATGAGGCGGTGATCGGGGATCTTTACGAGGAGGGGAGGATTAAGAGTGCGGATAAGGTGTTTGGTGAAATGTGCAATAGAGGGTTTAGGCCGACGGTGGGTTTGTACGAGAAGAAGATTGCGGCTTTGTGCGATGACAAGAGGGTCGGTGATGCGGTTAGGGTTTTGGAGACGGAGATGAAGGAGAGGGGTTGCGTTCCGAGCGTTAGGGTTTATGATCTGATAATGGGAGGGTTTTGCAAAGAAGGGAAGGCGATGAGGGCGGCCGAGATGTTGAAGAGGATGGAGAGGCAAGTGGGTTGTGTTGCCAAAAAAGAAACTTTTGAGATTGTGGTGAATGGATTGTTGGGCGAAAGGAAGTTTGTTGAGGCTTCTGAGGTTTTGGAGAAGATGGCGAGGAGAAAGTATTGGGCTGGGAGCGAGGTTTACAGTGAAGTTGTTCGAGGACTCTGTTGTGCTGGGAGGAGATATGAGGCTGTGTTGTGGTTAGAGGAGATGGCGAGCCAGGAGAAGGTGCCGGAGGTCTCTGCATGGAGCTCGCTGGTGAGCTTGGTGTGTGTTGATCATGATTCAGTACAACTTTCGTCGCGTTTGGATTCTGTAGCAGATGATTAAGTACGAGAGCCAGTTTATTTGCGAACAAGTATGCAGCATGATGTTCTGCAGCAACGTACTGTGGGTTCACAATAAGTGCTTCGAAGGTGTAACTTTTTGTGTTGGTCAGTATGTTCCAAGATGGGCAGAAAATGAGTAGCGGAAATGAGAATGTTGCTCTTATTGAGGATGCAATGAGAAGTGAGGGCATCCTTAGGAGGTCAGAGGTTGCTCTTATTAAGGATAGAATGAGAAATAATCGACCGTGATGGCATGGTCATATTCAAAGGGGTCCGCTAAAAATACCCACCGGGAGATTAAATAAAGATTAATAGCTAACGACGGCACAAAGGAGTAACGATAGACCTAAAAGGACTTGACTGGAAGCAGTTAAGAAGGAAACGATAATATTCAACTTAATGGAGAAGATGACCTTAAAGGGATGAATATAATTCAGGTAGCCGATCCAAATAAAATGTGATGCGTGATTTGTTGTTGTTGTTGTTATTATTGTTGGTATTGACTTCTTGTGATAATGACAGGCGTGCCGTCAACATTTCAGATTTGAGAAAATAATCTTGTTGTTTGTGGTTTGGGTTGATCTCTTTTGGCGATATTTTCGGAGCTCATCAGTTCTTGAATGATGGGTGTCTGGCTGGATACGCTGTTGGAAGTTAGTTTTGGGCGTGGGGGAAATTTTGTCACGTTGGTTTTAGTGGTCATGTAATATATCTATTGTATATCTGAATGAAGGTAGATTGTTATTCACATTTGCGTTTGTTCTTCGAAGTTACAGTGTATGGCCAAAGAGGAGAATTTCTAGTTGCGCCTGCATCAACTCCATTTCTTCTGCTTCCAGATTTCCAAATGGGAGCTCATGGGATTTTCTTGACGACATTATTTGAAGATATTGTTTTCTCAATGTCCTACGTGTTCAGAGATGATTTGTTAACAGTGGCTCGAACGATGACACGTGTCTAATTACGAGACTATAAGAGTTGTACTACTCACGAAGTGATGAATTTAAACATGGTATTTCCATGAATACACCGTATTCTGAAATTGTATCTTTTATAGTTTACAAAACCTTATTATTTTATAAGTACCAAGTCCCCCTTTCGTAAACATAGCTACAAACTCCGGTAGTATTCCTCTAAAAAATAAAAAAACAGAAGAAAAACATAATCCCAAATTCCAAATTTGACTATCCATCCTAAGAGCAAACAAAACAAGAAACGTTAGAAAAAAAGAAAGAAACAAAAAGAAAAAAAAGAGGTCGGGGACTACGACCTCCACGTAAGCAGATACACCCCATATGTCCCCAATTTCTCTCCCCCTTTCGTGTTTCCAGAACCATCTACTTTTTTATTACTAAAGAAGAGCACAAAAAAAAACATCTAATGAACAGTAACTTCTACTTTCCTTTATATAAGGGACTGTTTGTTTCGTTTCCCCCACAATCCAAAACCCATTTTCCTTCGTTTTTTTACTTTCCCCCACTTTTCAAAACCCACTTTCCTTCACTTTCTCCATTTTCCTCCAATAATATTGCCCCCACTTTTCAAAACCCACTTTCCTTCACTTTCTCCATTTTCCTCCAATAATATTGTGACAACTCATCTCATCACATCTCATTTCATACTCCAATAATATTGTGACAACTCATCTCATCACATCTCATTTCATACTTTTAAAAATAAACAAAACACAAAAAATGAGTCACATCAATCAACTCATCTAACTCACTTTCTCCCACTTTTCTTCATTTTCTATCATCTTTAAAAATTACTCACATTATCTAATAATATGGTGATAACTCATCACATATCATGAAAATTTTCTTCCATCCCTTTCCTCCAAAAAAACAAGAAAATTGATTTTCCTAAGTATGTGTCACATCATCCAATAATATAATGACAACTCATCTCATCTATTTTCCCCCACTTTTAAGAATGAACCAAACACAAGAAAAGAACCTAAATAAACAAAGTGGAGGAAAACATCAAAAATTACTCACATCAACCAATAATATAGTGACAACTCATTTTCCCCCCACTTTCGGTTATAGCTTTGACGAACCAAACCTCTGAGGGGCTGTTTGGTTGTTGTTGGTAAAATTGTGTATTTATGACACAACTTGAAAAGTTGTTATCCACCTCATCAATTTTACTTGTATACTTTTCTTTGTTTGTTTTTGATTCAATTGGAATCATAAATTGCTTGTTTGGTTTGCAAATGTAACTTTAATTGTTTCTTTGGAAAGTGTAAAAAGTGGTCCCTACTCAAATGATCATATTGGTTGGAATTATTTTTTATTATTTTTTTCTGACTTCAATGTCAGCTTTCTCCTAAAATCATGTCTTTTTTTTTATGAAATCACTTACAAGCCACATCAGCATATGAAATCACTTTACACTATTTTCACAACTACAAACAAACAATTAAAAGTGATGAAAGCTGACATTGGGACCCACTTTTTAACACTTTCCATCCTTTTACATGGTAAAAACATACAACCAAACAGCCCCTAAGCAACGCTCAAAAACTACTCTGCACCTTTAATGAATTTTCTGTTCCAAAAGAGTTTTAGAGTGGAAGTAATTATTTTCCAAGCTCAAACTGCGCATTAAAGAATTTTAGTTTAATTTAGTTTCTATCATTATGTGTTAGCTCCGTATGTTAGCGGGCTAGTTTAGTAATCTAGCTATTGTTTAAAATCCTACGTAAGGGGATTGAATTTTATGTTTAGTTTTTGGGGTTTTATATATTACTCCCATAAATCGTAGCTATTTTGATATTAGTCCGTCAAATCTTTATATTTTGATATTAGTCCCTTATATACCAGTAATGTGTTGATGTTGTTAGGTGTCATATTTATAAGCCTACGGTATAATCTTATTTTGATGCATTTACAAACAATTCCTAACATCGTTTGTCTTGTGTTTATATTTGTTTATTAGGTATTCTAGACAAACATCGAGGTTGGAGGTTGGTTGGATTGAGCTTAACGATGACATTCAAAGGAGGTT